TTTTGGTAAGAAAAACTATATTAAATGTTTTTTTTATGTTAATTATATTAAATGTTAAATAAAACATAATTGAATTAAAAATAGCTGACATGTGCATAGATGCACTTTAACAGCATTCGACAGACTGAAAATTTGGCATGGAGTGAAGTTAACTATAATAAGAGCTAACCATCTGTACTCTCTTTTATTGTCCAATCTTCTAAGAAGATGAATTTTAACCAGGGGATATATAGAAGGTATCATGTTTCTAAAACACTTCTCCGCAGAGTAATCAAAACTAATCAGTTGAGATAAAAAGAAGCTAGCAGTTTAAACCCCATTCCTATGCCATTCCATGAATTCGTTAATTCTCTGATGAAGCCCACAAAAGATGATCCTCTTCTTTCTTGTTGAAAGCCCAGATGGACCATTTTACTTGGAAAATTTCCTACTTTATTTTGCTGAGACTTTGAGATTGTTCTCCTTTTGGTTTAGCAACCTGCAGTAATCAATCAAGCTCTGCAAAATAATTGATGCCTTACAAATTACTCCTTGATGCAGGTACTTGTTTATAATCTCCAAGTACTTCAATGCAGTTTGAAGTTCTTGTTCATTAAAATTGTTGGAGAAGATATTCCTCCACGCTTTTGATCTTCCCTCTAAGCAAACACCATGCAGCAAGGCAGCAAAAGAGACAGGATCTAGAATGAAACCTTTACTCATCATCTTCTCCTGCAACTGGAAAGCAACTTTCACCGTTCCAGTTTGACAAAGGCAGATCACGATAGAGTTACAAGCAGCAGCTGTTTGAGACCATCCATCGGAAACCATCAGTCTAAAAAATTCCAGAAACAAAGATTTCCCTCTTTGTAGAGATATTGCACTTGGGTCACTATTTGTGAATCCATTTACCAAGTAATTGAAAGAAGCATCATTGGGAATGCAGTTTTTAGTTAGCATCAATTTAAAGAAGAATGCTGCTTTTGAAAGTTTACCTTACTTGCAAAAGCTCCCAATTAACATAGCATATGTGACTACATTAGGCTCCAAACCACTGGTCTGCATTGTCTTCAAAGCATTTTCAGCCCTACTAGACTTTCCTCAATGGCAAAATCCATTGATAAGAGAGGTGCAAGTCACCACATTTGGCTGGCATTTTCGCTTGACCATCTGCCCCAACATTATTAGTGCACCATTGATATTGTGCTGCTTTACATACCCATCTATAATTGTAGAATAAGTGAAATCATCTAGGGGTAGAGATGCTCTTCTGTCATTCTAATTACACGTGAAAGTGCATCCTTCATTTTACCAAATTTGCAGAAAATCATGGCATTGTATCCCACATTGCCAGGATCCATACCTTCCTCAATCATGACTTGAAAGAACTTTTTTGCCTCCTCAAGGTCACCATTCCTGACAAACCCCTCTACTAGAGTGGCACAAACATATGCATCAGGTTGTACATTTTTGTTTAGCATCTCAGCGAGAAGGACCTTTAGCAGCAGGAAATCGCCCTTTCTTGCAAAGTCCATTCATCAAAACATTGTACATAGCAGCATCAGGCAACATTCCTCTTCAATCATTTTGTCTTTCATTGTCAATGCAGCATCCACTTCTCCCTTAGATATAAATCCATGGAGAAGAGCTCCTTAAGCAATTAAATCAGGTTTATGCCCTCTTTCTGTCATCTCAATAAGCAAATCTGAGCCCCATATTAAATTTCCTCGTCTGCAGTAGACATGAATGAGAGGAGTGTAAAGGAATTTATTTGGCCTCAATACCCTTCTTATTGCCTCTTCCAAGAGTTGATCAGCCTCCTGATCCTTCCCATCTCTACAAGAACCACAAATCAAAGTGTTATATAGGTAACAGTATCAGGTTCACAATCACTCTCATTCCTCCACATTATAGTCTCCATAGCTGAACTTCAAAACCATGCTTATATCGAGCATCAATGATATTAATATAACTTCAACATTAACACCCAAACCCCTATGTCTCATTTCCAACAAAAGCTTATCGAACTGCCTCAAAATCCCTTTCTTACAAAACCCATTTATCATAGCTCCTTCTGTCTCCAATGTAAGCAAAAATCCCTTCATTTTATGCTCCTTGAAAAGCTTAGTAGCATTCTCAGTGTAGCCTTTCTTGGAATAACCATCAATGAGGGTGTAGTAGAACAGAATATTTGGCACGCACCCCTCTCCCCATCTATCCTCAATCAACTTTTTATCCTCCTCAACCTTCGCTGCTCTACACAAACCCCTCATCATTATGCAAACACTATAATTATCAGAACTATCTCTTTTAATCATTTCATCGAACAATTTACGTGCAACATTAACCCGCCAACATTTCACTAATGCATTGAGCAAAGAATTACATGCAAACACATTAGGTCCGCAATTCTGAATCTTAACCATGAAATGGTACAATTCAACAGCTTTATCAACCAAGCCAGAATCTGCTTACACGTAAATAACAAGGCTCAAATCTTCTGAGTAGGCTTTATATCTTCCACTTTCATGTTCTCTAACACAACTTAAATCCCCGGAAACACCTAAAACCTCGCTAAGAGTTTCAAGAAAGAAGAATATGCATGCCTATTAACAGCCAAACTTTGCCGGTGTTGTCTGGAGACCCAATCAAAGAACTTGACACCCAATTCAACGTCATTCAGTCGATCTTGTCAAAATCGAGATTGCACATAAGATCAAAAGAGGGGAGAGGAGATCGCAAATAGGATCCTAAGATGCTTGCAAATTAAATTTGTATATTTATATAATTAATACAAATAAATACAAATTATGTAAATATTTTAAAATAAAATTTTAAATTTATTTATTGAAAAAATAATTCTAAAATGAAATATTTTAAAGCTCAAATACAAAGTAGTTAATATTTAATACTTTAAAATAGACTCTGTGCTCTAAAATCCCTAGGGTTTTGGACATAGGTTTCCCTCTCAAGATTTTTTTCTGGCATATAAGCCCTTTTTTTTTTTCTTCTCTATTGCTTGTTTTCCTCTTGCGCTTGCCCTTCCCTTGCGTCTTTGTGTTTTCCCTCTCGGTTTTGACTCCCTTTGTTCATATCTAAAAAGTGCTTTCAGATCTGAGTTAAGATTTGTGATTTGGAGTGTTGCGATGGCAAGAAACTATTTTGGGTGGGCTATGGCGAAACAGAAGGGGTGAGGTTTGGTAGTTCCATTAGCGATTGGGGGATGACAGGTGGCGAAATTGAAACATTGCTCAGTTGAGTTTGCCTTATAGAGGATGAAGATGGCTTTCTTCCCTTGCTATTGGTTTGGAAACCAAATGATTCCCAATTGAAAGAGCTACAGTCGATGGGAAAGATTTTTTGCAAGAAGAAGATTCATGCAAGGGTGACTAGTGTTAAGTATACACCGATGGACCCTTTCCCTCTACCTATCGGTTAAGTGTCCTTTTGGATTGACAAAGTATTGCAGTGCTGGGAGACACTGCATTGCTAAGTCATTTCTTATTCTAGGTCAGGTGGTACAATAGATGTGATTGTCAGTAGCGTCAAAAAGTTTCAGTGCATTCTTTCGCCATTATATAGCTCTATTATATCTCTTTAACATATATTGATATATAGAGGTTTCCTATTATATCCTTTGACAAATAGTAATATATAGAGGTTCTTAGTTTCTAATTGTCTTATTTGTATGCAGCACTTAACTCTATATATTAGTGTCATAGGTCCTTCTTAATATTTCTTTTTCCAAATTAACCTATATGGCAAGGTATAGTTTACATTCTAATTGTTTTTCAATTATTAATACAACTATACCTTTTTTTTTTTTAAAAAAAAAGCTTATAATATAATTTAAAAGTTAAACAATAAATGCATAGGATAAAAAATAATCAAAATAGCAACTCAAAGAGCTTTTATATTTTATTTTTTTCATAATTCTCATCATCAACAAAAATGGTCTCTAATAAATCATACTTCTCCAATTCATCCTCCTTATAATTTTCTAATATAAGTTCATCTTTCTTATTATCTTCACTTTCAAAATCTATTAATTCTTCATTTTTTTGGAAAACTATTAACCATTCATCATCCAAAGAGATATTATTTAACTCAACTTACCATTTTGTTTGTCTTTCAATTTTAAATTTCACAAACTCCAAATCATTCATTTTCTTTTGACATAGACTATTCCTCATTTTTGTGAGAACCTATAACAATTCATTTGTTCTAAAAAATTAATAAAAATTAAAAAATAACAATAATAAAACTAAATATTAATTAAATCAAATTTAAAAATAATATAATCTTACCTTCTCAAAAGCACTTCAATTACATTAACAGCCAAATGAACTACAAGTCCAGTAGTCAAATTGTGAAACGTTGCAATTCAGGACACTCATTTCTATAAGAGTGCCACCAATCAGTTAGAGATTTATTTCTTATTTCACATATTTCTTACTTAAATACTCCTAAATGACTCCTTACAAGTTTTGAAAAGATCAATTTGAGAATCAATTTTATTCTTCTCATCTTGATTCAACACTATCGTTTCCAAGCAATCTTATAAACCCCTTAACCTCCATATCAAACTTATAATTTTCCTCAAGATCAAGATCAAAACAAAGATGGGGATTCAAAAAATATGCTATTGCATGCAATGGTCTATGGAATTGAGATGCCCATCTATCATCAATAATTTTCCAAATATGCTTGTAACTTAGATAAAAAAATAAAAAGAAAGAAAGAAAGAAAGAAAGAGAGAACATTAAAAATAGTTAAATATTAAAATTTAATAATTAATTGTATTAAGTAAATAACTAATTATACCTTTTCTTGACATTCTTAAAATTTTCTTGAATCTTTTCTTTGCAACAATCCATCTCTTTCATAAATAAAAGACATGGTCAACTTCTCATCGAAGTCCACCAAACAAAGCACCTTAATAAGTGGATATGCAGTCTTTAGACATGTAGTGATATTCTACCTAAAGTTTCTATCCAGAATTACTTTCTCTACAAACTTTCCATCTCTCAGTTTTGAATACTTACTATGTTTCCATTTGAGGAGGAAAACATGGAAACCAATGCACCCTTAAGTTAATTGAGGCACCCCAAAGTAAGATATAGGTGTGAAAATGAGTAATAGTCGATCTAATTAAATCCTTCCCTTTGGTAAATTGCTTCATCAAGGAAATAAGTAAAATTCTTGAATAGAAGAAAAATTATTATCTTTTTTCCCTTGTAAAATGTATCTTTGTGGATCCTCAATTTTTTCTCAAAATCCTCCAACATTAAATCAATGCAATGTGTTGCATACGGTATCCAAAATAGTGTTTTTCTTTTCTCCATTAGCATCTTCCTTACAATTTTATAATTAGCAACACTATCTGTAATGACTTGCACAACATTTCTTTCCCCTACTTTCTTAACAATATCATTTAATATCTCAAAAACCTTTTCAACAGTTTTTGAAATTTCAAATGTATTAATTGATGATTAAAAAAAACTATTCCCATGGGACTATTCACCAAAAAATTCACTATAGATCTTTGTTTTTTTGTCACTTTATCTATTTGACATAATAATGCAACCAGTTATCCATTCTTTTTTAGGCTCCTCAAGTGATTCATTTGTGTAGCTTACCTCTTTCTTCAAATATGTTTCTCTAATATGGTGATAAGAAGGAGGTTTGTACCCAATCCCATATCTCCCAATTACCTCACACAATTTTAAGAAATGTGCATTGTTCATACAATTAAAAGGTATTGCACTTGTGTAAAACAATTTAACAAGTTAATGTGCATCCTCCTCCAAATCAGGTTTCAACATTTGATTTATTATAAGTTGGGTGTTTTTGGATCTCCTAAATAAAGAATCAATAGTATGCTTTCTGCCCATCACTTTTTTCTTTTCCCCGTACCACCTCTTCAACATTGTCATCACTTCCTCCATCCCATCTATTGAACCTTTTGGTTTTTTTTTTTTTTTCAATGCTCCAATTAACTTATTGGAACTTTAAGCATCTTTTACTTCACATCTTTGGGCATATTCAAACATACTTTAACATTATTTTTAGTGCATGTCAAATGATGTTTAAAATGAAAATACTTTCGATAATTTCTTTTGAACAATACTTATATTTAATTTTTCTAAAAGTATCATTTAGATCAAAACCATGTTCCTAGCCAACTTTTATCGGATTGCATTTTTTCTTGCACATTTAAAAAAAAAAAAAATCACCACTACTTAAGGTCATTAAAGCCTACAAGTTAAACAAAAAAAATAATATAAATACAAATAATTGTTAAAGATGATTGTTATTCTTAATATGAAAGATAAAACTAAACTTAAAAAATAAAAAAAAA